TCCAAAACGTCGACCGTTCCATCGACTGCGTTGGTCACAAAAACCTTCTGCGTTGACGCGTCGAACGCCGCGATTTCGGAGGCCCCTTCCCCGCCGGCAGCCGTGTATCGCCAGGCTTCTTCCAAAGCAGGCGTGCCGAACAGAAAATCCAATGGGCCAGCGAACGCTGTGCCCGCCAACATCAGCGATGCGAGAATCGCACCACTCACCGAAAGCAATTTCATCCAGGTGATCCTTCATCTATGGGTGTGTCAGAAAAGACAATAAGCCGACAAGTTTCCAGAGGAAATGTTGGCAACCGATGAAGGCGTGATGAATAACTTCGATATATTGAAAGCGGGAAAGTTCGGTATCGAAAAACCGTGAAGTCGTGGTAAAGAATCGATGACGAAGCCAGACACGCCCTACCAACGCCTGACTGCTGCGGCAGCCCAGGTAACGATTGATGCAACGTATGACGACCTTGTCGTGCAGACCGACGTACAAGGCTTACGCGAACTGGTCGAGCGAAATCGTGACGTTTTGGTAAATGCACGCACACACTTGGGGCCGGAGTGCTGCGTTCCGCTGGTGAACGAGCGTGACTTCTTTGCCAATAACAGTAACAACATCGTCTACCTTCGCGATCTAGGCAGGCTGTTTCGCGCCGAAGGGATCTTGGCTGGTTTCGAGAAACGTTATGAAGATGCCGCTCAGGTGGGTCTCGATCTGCTGCAGCTGAGCAATGCCACCAGCCGGGGCGGCCTGAAGGTAGATCACATGACCAGTTGGATGATCACGCTGCAAGGAATTGATGTCATCCGTCGTTGGCGCACGGCGTACGAAGCGACGTTTTGCTCGCGATTGTTGGCTGCGGTTTTAACGCTGGATGCCCAGCGCGATTCGTGGGAAGTGGTCGTGCAGCGCGATCGCGAATGGGAAATTGCCGTCGACTATGAAGAGGAACCGATCGATTGGTCCGAAGCCGAACTTTCGGACGAAGACAAAGCGAAGATGTCAGCAGAGGAAATCGCCGACTACGAAGCGATGATCGAAGATGCCCAGAACATGTCGGACGACGAGCGCGTCGAAATGAACGACTTGTGCGAAAACCGACACATCTGCGTGATGCGATTGCTGATGGTCGATTTAGCCATTCGCGTCTATCAGGGAATGACCGAGAGCTATCCGGAAACACTGGAACAATTGGTGCCAGGCGTGCTGGAAACGGTTCCACTCGATCCCTTCACGCAGGACGATTTCATCTACCAGCCGATGTTGATTGTGCCGCGTCGAGCCGATGACTTTCTGCTTTACAGCCCCGGGCCAAGTCAGCAAGATCATGGAGCGACGTTCGGCCCCTTCCCTGCCGTTGCGGCTGGAGTGGCTGACTTGTGCTTGGACGAGCCTGACTA